GTGATTCACAAGATCTTTTAATACAGACGTACAGACAAGTAAACACACAAACACATACAAATAAGGGTAAAACTATATTGCTCTGGTGTTGCCTTCAGGGCCAGATGGTAAAAAACAGTCTTACTTTTTTAAGCATCAGTCTGTCAGAAGTCACAATCTGTAAAACTGGTGCAGAGTTTGTGTGAAAAATGCAAACATTCACTCAGCTTTCAAATCAGTTTTTGAATCATTTATGTTTATTTATCATGAATGAATGTATAAGTTATACAAGGAGAGGAAAACATATGAATTAAGCTGTTTATAATGGTTTTGTTAAATTCTACATAATCTCACACATATTGTCACTTTTTAATACTATTTAATCATCTAATCAAAATACAAGTGTGTGTGTGTGTGTGTGTGTGTGTGTGTGTGTGTGTGTGTGTGTGTGTGTGTGTGTGTGTGTGTGTGTGTGTGTGTGTTGAAAACAATGAGCAACAAGAGGAGGAGGAAGCAGAAGCATGGAGGGACCAGGCTGTGCTGCCTTGATTAGACCACGAGGACAAAGGCGGAAACAACAGAGACGAAGGACGTCTTCCAGATAAGAGACTGAACCCTCACTGGTGTTTCTGTGAGGACACACAGCAAAGACAACACTCTGACAACAGCTACAGGACAACACTCTGACAACAGCTACAGGACAACACTCTGACAACAGCTACAGGACAACACTCTGACAACAGCTACAGGACAACACTCTGAAAACAGCTACAGGACAACACTCTGACAACAGCTACAGGACAACACTCTGAAAACAGCTACAGGACAACACTCTGAAAACAGCTACAGGACAACACTCTGACAACAGCTACAGGACAACACTCTGACAACAGCTACAGGACAACACTCTGAAAACAGCTACAGGACAACACTCTGAAAACAGCTACAGGACAACACTCTGACAACAGCTACAGGACAACACTCTGACAACAGCTACAGGACAACACTCTGAAAACAGCTACAGGACAACACTCTGAAAACAGCTACAGAACAACACTGAAAACAGCTACAGGACAACACTGAAAACAGCTACAGAACAACACTGAAAACAGCTACAGAACAACACTCTGACAACAGCTACAGGACAACTATTCAACCGCTGGAACCGCTCCTCCAGCAACCAGAGACCAGAGACGGGACGATTGGAAAAAACAAATCATTCCTCGTCTCCTGGAAACTAAAACCACGGTTAGAAACATTTGAAGGAACTGAAATGTTTCAGTTAGCTTCATGAGACTGAAGGACAAACTGTGGCTGGCAGCAGTTTGTTGTTACGATCGTGTTTTAATGAATAATTTAAGAATTACAGCCAACCTGTAACATTTTAAAGAGTCTGTGACTTTATCCTTCAAATACAAGTCAAARAAAACGTCTTTAATCTTGAGAAAAGTGGCAAAATACTCGTGATTTTACACATTTTGTCTCATGAACAGCCTGTTTCTTTTTTGAACTTGTCTCTGCCAAAGTGAAACAGGAAGTGACATCAAAGGGGAACTCTTCAATAAAATAAACTCTCTGGTTTTTGTTCATTAAAACAATATTATTTAAACTTTAACTCTTTATCTCTCTGATATCGACTCAAAATAATAAAAAAAACATCAGATTATTCTTTACAGTCTGTTGTAGCATCGCTCTGTTTGCATGCACATTCCCCTTTGACATCACTTCCTGTTTCTTCACAGGCAAATATCTCAACAACTGTTCATCTCAACGACATGAAATTTGTTTTGCAATATTTTATCAATGTCCTCTTTCCAAAAAAGCATTCATGTTCATTACAAAAACTGACGTCACMGACACTTTAAAACAATGAAAGTTGTGACTAATCATCTTCCCAGAGATGAAGGTTTTTCAGTAAATATATTAAAACTATAAAGAACCAGTAAATCTAATAACTTTAGAAGTGAGACACCTGGTGGACTCCAGGACCTGACCCGGTCCTGGTTAGAGACACAAACCTGCGGCAGGTGTTTTACAGCCAGTTGTTGCCGCGGCACCAGAGGACTGTCCATCGTGGAGTCCAGTCTCTCTGAGGAGCTGCTGGTGAGACCCCCCCAGTCCGTCTGACTCGGGGTGGTCCCTGCGGTTTCCGGAGACGTCAGCGGCAGATCGCTGGAGTACCCCGACTCCAACAGAGACGGTTTCCCCGAAGGGTCCACCTGCAGCTTGGAGGACGTCCTGCTGTCCAACAGTTGGACTTTCAGGAAGCTTTCCACGATGGGGGTCGAAGCGGGACRGTCTTTGAGGACCTCCACGTCACCGACTCCGTCCCCGCTCCACACCGGGGAGCCATAGTTGGTGGGGTACGCTGTCCTGACCATGCAGAGCTTACCGCCCACCTCCCGGATGTGGACCACCCCTCTGCGCTCCCTGTCAGACGGCTCGTCCACGTCCTGAGTGGGTCCGTCTCTGTCTGCTCTGCTCTCGTCCCTCTCCTCCTGTTGGAGGATCCAGGGTTTCTCCAGGACCCCCTGGGCCTTCTCCCTGACCCGGCAGACCCTCCCTCCCCCCGGCGTGTTGACCGGCGTGGCGGCGGTCTGGCCCGGGATGCTGGAGACGTCRATGATGGCGCTGACCGTGTCCTCCTCCCCAGGAAGACAGAACACCCCCCTCCAGGCGGGGCTGGGGGTCGGGGTCCTGAGGAGCCCGGCGCTCAGGGTGCTGCTGTGGGGGTACATTAAGTCGGGGTCCGGCGCTGATCTTCTGCTGCTCTCTGGAACTGCAGCGTGTTGATCTTCATCCTCAGGAYCCCCTCCTCCTCCTCGCTCCTCCTCTGGTTTCTCCGCTCCTCTTTTAGGAGCTTTGCGCTTGAACCGAAAGCGCGAGCGTTTCTTCGACGGGAGGGGGTGCGACCCGTCCGGATCCCCGTCACGAGAGGGTCGGACACAGCCCATGGAGTTCCCCATGACTTCAAAAACACGGAAATATCTGGTAAAAACGGGCAGGTGAGTCAGGACAGGTGTGTAAAACCCATCCTGAGGAGCGGAAACCCGGATCAGAGTTAAACCTGCAGAGTCAGGCAGTGCAGGGGCCAGCCCCGCTCTCTCAGGACCCCAGCTTGAGGGGAGTGAAGTCAGTCTGAGTGGATGATTTGTGACCAGGTGAGTTGTTACCTGGTGGGATGAGCCTCTCACCTGAGAATCTCATCTTTTTAAAGCCTCCTCAGGATCAGTTCTTTAACGATCAACCAGCAGCTGAGATTTGTTTTCAGCTCTGTGACCTCGTGAATGATGCCTCGGCCTCGCTGTGATAACGTTACTGCAGCGTAAAGAGCAGAGACATTAGCAGCCCCCTCCTCCCGTACAACAGGTATCAGGGTTCCCCTCCTGTCTCCTCCTGTCAGAGTGGACAGGTGTGTGACGGAGCGAGCACTCAGCCGATGCAACAGATCGCAGGGAGGTCCCACGGCTCGTTGAAGCCTCCATCAGAGCCTGGCTCAGTCCTTCAGGACACGTGTTCCTGTCCTCAGCGTGTTCACGTGACCAGCAGCAGAACATGAAACTCCACGAGGAAGCCCGAGGTTCAGAGTTGGAAACACTCAGGAGTCATAAAGCTCTTCATCAGGTGGTGCAGTGCGACGATGCAACAGCCTGAAACATCCACGGCTCAGGTCACAACGAGGTAAAATWTTTAAAATATCTGGTCCTGGTTTCCCTCCAGTCCGGTTTGATCTGATCAGGATCCAGCTCCTGGGGGGGCGGACGGGTGGACGTCCTCAGACTTGCAGCCGTCGACCCGTTTCCTCTGCGTCTGGAGCCGAGCCAAAAGGGACGGTGTGTCCGGAGGAGTCCCGAGCATCAGAGGTTAGAAACAAAAGCAGGCGTCTCCGGTGGAGACCTTCAGACGGGCTCTGATCCGACTGACGCGGCGGAGGCTGAGGAGGATGTTGGGCGGTCCCCGGATCAGCTGGAAGACCCCCCTCCCCTCCTGACCACGAGCGGGTCCGTCTCAGCTGAGCCTCGGTGTTTTGAGGCCTGCCGATCTGCCGCTGCCTCGACCGGCGGCTCTGCTTTTCCTCCGTCGACCTGCAGACGCCGGCAGGAAGGAGAGAGGAGCGTTTTATCTCGCAGCTGCTGCAGCTACGCTCCCTCTTCTGCACGATCCACCCCTCCCTGCCTGGCTCTCCTCCTCCTCCTCCTCCTCCTCCTCCAATCCACTTCCTCATCCCTCCCATCTCTCCCCACAGCTTTCTGTCTCGCTCTGCTGTTAGAGCAGCTTTCTGTGCCACAAACACTCGACCCAAAAGCTCCTCTGAGCTGCAGCTGCAGCCAGGAATTTATAMGAAATCAGGCGGCGGTGGAAGAATCTGAGGATCATTCCTTCAAACTGACGACACGTTTGGATTCACTTCAATCCAAACAGGAAGTTGAAAAAAAAAGCAGGACAAGATGGTTGGAAGCTCTGTAAGGAGGCTTGAGCCTGGTTATAAATCTCATTAATTATCTGATTAATCACTTATTTTCATCTAGTTAATTTAGAAATGTTATTAGTTATGTTTACAGCAAAAAAGACATTATTGCCATTTAATTTACAGAAGTTTTTTGTCTTAAGTTGAAATGACAGAAATAACTGAAGGAAGTATGATATCAAAAGTAAAAGTGTGCGTACTACTTTAAAACAAATGTGTTTCTCAGTTTATGGAGTAAAATTACAAAATAGTTTGGATGATGATTTGAAAAAAATGTTCTATTTAAATCAATTCAAAATACTTTATAAGAAACAAATGATTAAGTCTTATACACTTCTGAGTTAGCAATGAGGAGAATGACATATTGTTTGCAATTTATATTCTAGATCAGAGCCGGCTCTTGGCATAGGCGAACTAGGYGGTCGCCTAGAGCGCCATCTGCTGGAGGGGGCACCGAACTGCAGAAGAAAAAAATTAATTATTTGTGATCCCTGGTTGTAACTCTGCTCAGCCCCCCTTTCAATTAGCTTTGTCTTAAAAAACTATAATGAAGTATTACAGGAAAAATAAATAATAAATAATAATAAATCTAAGTTTACCATAGTACTTTACACTGTCAAACTTGTTTTTAGGGGGGTTAAATTGGGGTGGGTGGGACATAGTTCGGGGGGGTTGTGCCTAAGGCACCAAAATGGCTAGAGCCAGCACTGTTCTTGATTTAATGTATAGAGGACATAGAAAAATAAATAAATAATTGTAATTATTGAGAAAGCTTTACAAGGTTTTTCGTCTTCCTGCTTCCTTTTCACTCACGTATAGTGAGTGTTACAAGAAAAATATGTTTCGTATGTTAATGATGAAATTGTAGAATTGAGTGAATAAACTTATTGATTGATTTATAAACACATGAAGATTTCTTTCTTTGTGCCGTGAAAAACATGCGTATGTTTTGTTTCTAGCAACTCAAAACTATAATCTCATTTCCTCTCTAAAATCTGCGTAACCTCTGTTTTCAGGATCTCCAGAAGACAGATAATCCTCAGAACTGAACCACCTCAGACGACTCCTTCAACGTGTAGGAGCGGCGGCTCGACGCATAGCCCGGCCCCCCGTCACTAAGTAAACCCATTTCATGACCATGGATGAGGATTGGAAGGAAGCCGGACCAGAAAATCCTGAGCTTTGCCTTTCATCTCAGTCTTTTCTTCACCACAGCTGACCAGAGCAACGCCCTCATTACTGCTCCATCCTACAGACTGGTTCAGAATAAAGACCAGACCATCCCAGCGCAGCAGGAAACTGAAGACAGTTTTAGTGATTATCCCACTAAAACCCAAACTTCACAGCTTCAAGTGACGCCTGTTTACCTGAAGGTAAACCACCTGCAGGTGTAACAGATTTACAACGAGTTCCTCTGAACAAAAACAGCTCAGCATCAACCAGGCAGCTCAGCCAATCAGAARCAGCTTTACTGCAGGAGGCGTTCCGGGTAACAGTCATGACGAACTGAACAGAGACACCTGCTGGACCAGGGGTCTGCAACCTGCGGCTCTGGGGCCACATGTGGCTCTTTGAAAATGTGACCAAAYACAACAGAATAAAAATTGTTTTGGATTTTATACTCACAACAGAAATCAACTTGTATGCAAATATGTAATTAATATTACCAATACAAAAAGTAAAACCTGTTAGCTCATACTAGCCTGTTGTTTACTTAAATATTCCAATTTATTTCTATGATCTTTCTCTCAAATCCATCAGAATTACCTTTAAATAATTTGAAGACTACATAATAAGAAGAATTTTAAAAGAAATATGCCTGAATAGTTCAGTCCTACTAGTTTTTATGAAATTTGGTATAAACTATATACAGTATTTTTCTTGTTTACATTAATATGATCTTTTTATTGGTCCTGATGTGTATTAT